TTTTTGAAAGACAGACAAAGCTAACGCCATCACTTGAGTTGGATCTCAGATGTTCACGTGTTTGGGAAGACTCTCACGCTACCACACCAGATGCTTCTTCAATGCTGATAAAATGAATCTAGTCGTGTCTATTGTTGTGCGTGCTGACGGGTCACCGTGCACACTTTAGCTTTTTGCATTCTGGGTACTTGTGTTAGTAACTGGAGGTTTCAAAATGCACAGAGCAGAGGGGAGTTCTGCTGTAGAAAGGTACATTTTTGGATTAAAGGTTGAATTTGGAACATTTTCTGATCGAAGTTAAAGCTGAGATGATCTTCAGACGGCAGGATTTGGACAGCTCGTCTCTGATTGGCTAACAGCGCAGTAACTCACCACTGACTCGTTTGCTCTGCAACATGATGATTCATCCCCACATATGACACAACCCTGGAGGAGTTCTGCCGTGTGGTGGAGTTGCTAACGAAAATCAACAACAGCCAAGATTAATCCATGGATGCTAGACTGACATGTGTGGTCTTTATAAGCCAATAGTTGTCTGTTTGCAGCTGATGCAGGAAATAGATATAGAAGACTATTTTTACATTTATCCTGCATGTCTAACTCAGAGTGACTGATCATATTTAAATGAGAACAAGTTAAAACAGTTTCTCAGTGAACTTGGCCTTTAAGGGCTTGACTCTCTGCCTCTGTCACACACATGTGAGCTCAGCATCAGTAAGACTCATGTTCCGTAGTATTGATCGGGTGGGCTGGCCTTTCTGAACTGGAATGATTCCAAAAAGAGTGGATGGAGAGTTTTATTAAAAAAGTTCGTAAAATTCTTATTTCTCACAGACAAAAACTCTTTCACTGTTTGCCATTTGGATGCAAGTAATAACACACACACACACACACACACACACACACACGCACACACACACACACATGCACACACACACACACACACGCACACACACACACATGTACACACACACACACACACGCACACATGCACAAACGCACACACATACACACGCACACACGTACACACACACACACACACGCACGTACACACACGTACACACACACACGCGCGCACACGCACGCACACACACACACACACACACACACACACACACACACTGTAAATATGTTCTGATTATTTGTTTAACCCTCCGGAGGCCGGCGTTAAAACCTTCCTACCTGCTTACTCCACACACGTGTCTCATGAGCATTTTTTAACTCAGAAGTTCCGCTGAAGGACTCAGTTGTTCGTCCTTTTGTCAGAACTTATTTGGAGCCTGAGAGGGTTGAAGGTGCATTAAAAGCAGCCTCTTAGTGTCTCATCTACCATTAAGAACAAAGTCTCTTGGTGATTGTAAAGTAGAGACCTGACACGTTAACGTCCGCCCGTCGCTTCGTCACGCACACCGTCACATCGGAGCGCAACACATCGCCCTGGGAAGAGAAAACATCTGTGCTAACTGACAGAACTTTTCAGGAAAAGCCTGAATAAAGCGGCTGTGTTCTGTGTTGCTTGTACCCGCCATTTATTAGTTGCTCTATTATTCATAACAAGGAATCAGAAAATGAAGGCTCATTATGTACTCTTCAAGCTGTAAACTCATTAGCTGCTGCTAAAACCTCAACACAGCCCCAGTTACTAAAATGTCCTCCAACCTCAAACCAGCTCCTATAATCAGCACAGACACACGCACACGCTCACTCACAAGCATGAGCATGCTTCTGTAAGACCCAACCGAACGAGTAATTCAGTCTGAAACCGGAAAACATCAAAAATGTGTTTTTGAACATTTGCAGGAGACGTGTAGTGATGAGGGGAGAGAGTTGTTCATTAATAGGATTAAATGCTAAGGCTAATGGTATAAACCGAGACACAGGATGTGCCAGGTACCTGACAGGAGCAGTGCGGGGTAAGTTTTAGCAGATGGGGGGGTTGTTATTGTCGTGGATTACTCACTGCCACTTGATCTGCCTCTATAGCAGTAATCCTCTATCTAAGCTCCACAGGAAGGCAAAAACACACAGGAGTTATGTTACTCCAACGTCTTGAAACCATCTCTTTGTACGACCATAGATGAGGCTTATTGACATTTTTCCTCTTTATCCCCTTTTGACGGCCTGTGGGGATCCATCTTGAATTAGCCAGTCATGATAAATATTTTGTTTTGTTATTCTTCTAAATTCCTTCCTCCCTCACTCTCATACAGCAGGTCTTCATAAAGCCTTTATAGTGTTTTGATTTGATGCAGAGCTTGATGGGATCAGGCCATGGCTGGCTAGTCAGGGGTTTAGGGGCCTTGGGAGCAATAGTTGCCTGATGGAGGAGTCTATGGAAAACTCATCAGAGACGGAGCTCTTCAGCGGAGGATGCACCGTTTCCAGTCCCAGTTCAGCACTAACGGGAGATTGAATTCATCGGCTCATTATCAAGCACCAGATTACTCACCTATTTAGGATCACAGGCACCTGCTGGACTAGAACAAATGACCCTTCAGGACCAAGGTGTCAAAGTGCTCTTTCAGTTTATCACTTCGTTCTTTTCCAACAGGTGCAGGTGTCCACCATGCGCTACAAAACAGCTCCAGAGTGACAACAACACGTTACAGAGAACCAGTCGCTGTCACGTGTGGACTGCACCGAGCCTTCCTGAGTCAACTAAAACTCGATTCCCACTCATTTTGAGCTTTTCTGAAAAAGCCGAAGGCAACGGTGGATTCTTTGTAACGTGGGTGCTCGTGCAGCGTGCAGAGAGGTAATAAATGTGGGAGTCAGACCTGCTGCGGCTGCAGGTGTAGGCCTGCTGCAGGAGACAAAACACAGCTGCGGATCAGAACGGCCATTTAAAAGAGACGTCTGCAGCTGGTGCAAGCCCCCCCCCCCCCCCCCCCCCATCCTATTGATGCCATAAAAACCTGCACTCTTCCCAGAGGAAAGAGCGAATGGACCACTGAAGTCTGCAGCCTTCCAACCCCTTCCTGCAGTCTTTACTCCGACAATATTCTCTGTTGGGGGAGGGAGACGGTCTGTGGCAGAGAGAAGGTGGGGTGGGTGGGGGTGAGTGGATGAATGAACAAGCCTGGGGAGGAACCAGCCTGTTGCCACACGTGGTTTTGCTCCCACGAGCAAGAAGGGTGCTCGGAGAGCAGAATACTTTTATAGAATAACAACAGGTGGTCCTGGTGTGTTCTCACTTTTTTCTCTTTAGTTTCTGAGTGAAACTTTTCAGTCAGCTGTAGTAATTTATTCAGCACAAGCGAGAAGTACGAATGGCCTTCGGGTTGCTGGATAACGCAGGCTTACCTAACAGTTTGTGGCTGTGAGTAACAGTCACAAACCTACAGAAACAAAGAGCAGGTTAAAGAAACCAACACTGCTGTGAAAAGTCTCTTTTTCTACTCATGTAGTTTCTGCTTGAATCACAGCAGCCTTATCTTAAGCAAATGGAAGATCTTTATTATTAGAAATGAATATTTAACAGCTCTTAATATGCTGATTACTGGTCAAGAGGTCGCATATGTTACAGGAGTGCTGAGGATGCTCCTCGTCCCTCATTAAACACAATCACAGCCCCCGTCGTCTTAGTTATTCATCCATTAGAACCATTCCTCTTAGACATGGTTCACCGACATCTGGAGATCCCAAACTCTTCAGCTAGACTGCTGTTTGTTGACTTCTCTTCAGCGTTTAACACCCTACAACCTCACATCCTGGCTGGCAAGCTCACTTCTCTTTTTCACCTGGATGATCAGATAATCCTATGGATCCTGGATTTCTTAACTAACAGATCACAAAGAGTTCTGGTTAACAACACTCTCTCGGACCTTCTTTACACCTCTACTGGCACCCCACAAGGCTGCGTGTTGTCTCCTCTACTCTTCATTCTCTACACAGATGACTGTAGATCGATCCAGCCTGACAGTTACATGGTAAAATATGCTGATGACACTGTGCTCCTGTCTCTTCTGTCAGGCCCTACTGTTTACCACGGGCAGGTCCTGCAGAAGTTTGTGGATTGGTGTGACACTGCATGCCTGGAGCTGAATGTGACCAAAACCAAGGAGATGGTGGTGTCCTTCTCAAACAAACAGAGAGCGCTGGTTACCGCTGCCTCCACTATCATTCATGGACAGCCAGTGGAGCTGGTTGAAGAGTATAAATATCTAGGGACCACCATTGATCACCTCCTGAAATTTGCTTCCAACACCGAGGACATCCTCAGAAAGTGCCAGCAACGACTCTACCTCCTGAGGAAGTTGAATTCATTTGGAGTCAGGAAGGACATTTTACTGACTTTCTATTATTCTTTTATAGAGAGTGTTATCACATTTTCCATCCCCTGTTGGTTTTATTCTGTCAGCCTGCAGTATAGAAGCCGTCTACAAAGCACCGTCAAGGTGTGCTCTCGGATCATTGGACTACCACTGCGAAGCTTAACTTCTCAATGTGATCAGCATACAGGAAGTTTAGCACAGAAAATCATTAAAGACCCATCACACCCTCTTCATACTGTTTTCGAGTGGCTGCCCTCCAAACGCCGACTTCGATGCCCATGCTGTAAAACACAGAGGAGGAGAAGTTCCTTTGTTCCCAGAGCTGTGCTTCTTCTTAATTCTCAGTGCAGATAGGGGGCGTGTGCATTACTTGTATGTGTGCGTGCATATAGTTACATGTGTGTGTGTGTGTGTGTGTGTGTGTGTGTGTGTGTGTGTGTGTGTGTGTGTGTGTGTGTGTGTGTGTGTGAGTGAGCCAAAGTTTTAATCATTGTTGGTCATTCACATGTGAGTTTATGATATGATTGTGTATATAGGTTTTTATGGGTTTTACAAATGTGTAATTTGGATGTGTTTTTAGAATTTAGAGATTTTAGTGCCGGCTGCTTCACAATGCTGTCTCGAATTGCCCCTCGGGGACTAATAAAGTTGTCTTGAGTCTTGAGTCTTGAGTCTTGATTAGTTTGTTCTCACTTTGGACGTTGATCCAGGCTGGGACGGAGATGATGGCATCACTGCTCTCAGACTGGCCCGCTTGACACTCGTAGACGCTGTCATCGTCTAGTTGGGCCTTCTCGATCTTAAGATGGTACTGCCCTGGAAGACAAAAGAAGCACACCGGCAGAGTTGTTCATTTCATTCGATGTGATGTAAACAGAGACATGTGCTGCTACCAACCACAAACACATAGAAGTTGTGTTTTTTGTAATTAAACTGAAACACAGCTGCTGGGTTTTTCAGAGTTAATTTTCTTAACGAACAAACATGTTCTGCCAAACGGGAAATGATATTTTTTGAAGTGGAAAGATGCTGAGAGGTTCTGAACGATTAATATTTTACCTGTTGTGAACAGCTCTTTGAACATCTTCAGTTTAAATGTGTGTTCTGATTGGATTGACCTGCTAACGGCTAGTCTGCGCAGGGTCAAGGTGAAGGGGGATCGCTGCCATTATTAAACAACTCCAACCTCAAACATTTCAAAGTGCTTCTTGCAAATGCTGCTTCACGAAGCTCGTGAATCACTGTCAGGTGTTTATTTAGGTAGAATTAGACGTTGCTTTCACTAAAAGCAGAGGAGTTAGCGGTGGCTGTATGCAGCAGCCTCGCCTTGGTCAGTGGGTCAGCTGTGGCTACGATGTAGCTCATCACCATCAGTGTGTGAATGAATGTTGTGTTGCAAAGCATCTTGGGGGGCTGTAGAACTCTAGAAGGCGCTGCATACTTACAGATCATTTACCATCTATAGATTTATCCTAAAACAGATATTTTATTATATTTTTAGCATCAGTTTGTTTTCTTCTGAGTTTTTAGTGCTTAATTCAGTATTCATCAGTAGGGTTGTCACGATACCAAAATTTCAAACTCGATTCGATACTGGAAAAAAAACTCGATACTCGATTTCGATACTATTTAAAAACACCAATTTATTGAACAAGTTTATTCAAAAAATAACATTCCTCAATTTATATTGCAAAAATTAAATGTTAAGAATTAAGTGCATTAAGTGCTTAAACCTTTCAAGTATCAGCATTTTTTAAAAGGTGCATACAAAAACTGGTGAAAGTTAACACTTTAAATCATGAATTGTCTCACTATATATACACTATTTGCAGAGTGATGTTTTGCTGCTTAAACTCTGTTTAAGGTGCATTTTTGTCACAAGCTGTAACGCCATATGCTTTGTTCTGTACTTTTGAACAACTCTGTTGGTCAATACAGGGAGAAAACGAATTTCTCCACAGTAGGACAAAGGTACATCTACCGGTAATCTTAATAAAAACAGATTGGCGCACGGCAGTGACGTCATTAATAGCGCCGGTTAGATTAGCCGCAGCTAGTCTGTTCATGCCTACAAATCCCAGACCCGCTCCAAACGAACAGGGGAATCACGTTAATGATTCCCAACAAAACCTTTCGACATTGAGATGTTTTGGTGCAGATAATGTCTTATTTCGAGGCTGCACCACGGGTGCCTGTCCACACCCGTTATATGGATATACGCTGATGGCGAATTGCCGATGGATCTAAATACCCCGGGGAATCCAAGTAGCACCAAAGTTGTCAGCGTGAGTAAACAAAAGTACTGCATGCTAGAAATTAAGTCCGGGTTGCAATAAACGGGAGTTTCCTTTAAGCACATAAGCGTGAATATGCAACTACGTGTCGGACTTGGTATGCTAATTAAGTTGGGCTGCGCAGCGCCTCCCAAATTAGCTGTTTATCTTTTTGTTTATTTATTTGTTAGACAAAACTTGGATCGGAGACAACTCGCGTGGGAAATTGCAATGTAGCCATGCGGCATCTTCTTCTGTTTGTCTGGGAGGCGGAGGCTGCTTTACGGCATCTGGCTGTCATGCGTGCCGGTGTACTTGGAGGCTGTGTATAATAGTCCATGATATCGATACCACAGGGATGGAATATCTAATTAAGATACCACTTTTAGTATCGATTTATATCTAGGTATCGATTTTTTTGACAACACTAGTGTGTGCACTCCTTCAATTTGTCATTTATTGTGTGAGTTATTAGTAGTTTATGTGAAAAATAAACAAAAACATGCTAAATTCCTGCTGATATTTGGGTTCCTATTTTGGCTAGAAATAAGACAAATATGATTCTGAGAGCAAAGTGAGAGTTCCTCGCTGCTGGTTTTATCATAGACATGCAAGCAGTTGTACTGTAAAAGTGTAGCATTTGTTTTTGCCCTTGCAGGGGCTCCTGACGTGGTAAACGAAACCCAGAGCCTGATTTAAAAAGCCGACTGAACAAACTGTCTATTAATGGATGCCAGACACAGTCCCCTCGCTCTGTTTCTCCCCTCTCAAAGTCTGGCATGCCAACGGAGCTTGATTTGTTTGATGCACTGCCACAACCTGTGGGGGTTAGATGATGCTCAGTGCTGGTTTCCCAGCTCCTGGCGGCTCACAGCCTCCTAACATGTGGAAAAATAGTATCTTGGTCTGACAACCACTCAGGCCTAAAAATGTACATGTCAAGTAAGCTGGCAAGATAATTAACAGCAACCAGAAGCAATTTCCACATCTAACTTATCATTGAGTGCAGAGAGAGAAAGAGACACTGAATTCATTAATCCCATTCCTCTTTTCTGAAATTACTCACAAGCGGTGCAGTCAAGTAGCAGAGAGTATGTATTTATGGTGGATGGGATCGCTGAGATGTGACGTACTTATCTGTCCATTACTCTGAATTTACTCCATCTCGATTAGGACCTTTAAATAAACCTCAAGGACTGAATGCTGGCTCCAGCACTTCCCCTTTTGTATATCTGCCTTCTTGGATCAGCCTCAACAGTAAGAGAACAGCTGACGCCTAAAAGGTGCAAACCATCTCAAACTGTTGAGAAGATGCAACAATACATCCTGAAGAAGGTCTGATTTTTAACTACACAAGGAAAAAAAGACAAAAGAAGAAACCGAATTAAGCAAACATATTGTTTTGTTTCAATTGTTGATTCGTTTAGAAAGTTCAGCACAATCAGCAGGATCTTTTAAATGCTCATTTCCACTCTGGTGCACAGAGGAACCACTTCAACACAATCACATGTCAGGAAAAAGCTTTTAATAGAAAACCAATTACAATGTTGTCCTTCCACCATACTCAGCCCTTCTAATGCACCGAAATCTAGCTGAACACTAACAGAGTCAACACGCTGTCATCCAGAGACTCCTCTAATGGAAAGTGACCTGTTGAAGCTCAGTTCACACCACAGGATTCTTAAATTATCAGTCGAATTTCAAAGCACGACAGATCACACACGATAATAAAAACTGTGGTGTGCAGCAACAAGGCAACTACCACGCCCAAACTGTTTCCCCTCACGGTCGTTCTCCGCTCCGACGAGAAAATCTTGCAAGATTGGAGTAAAGCGAACATGGGGGATGAGTGTTTTCATCACCTTGCTCTCTGATTGGCTGAATGTCACAGTCAACAGGCAGTTGTCTCTGTAAATCAGATCAAGACAATCCAACGCGTTTGAAAGCCATGAAATCAGAAATGATCTTAACACACCACACAGAGCAGGATTATCTGATAAGTTCATCTTTAGAGCAGTTTAGATAATTGTGTGAATCCTACAGATTGTTTGAAGGGGCGGGGCTGGAAGATTGGCTGGTGATTATCCTGAACGGGGCTTCAGTTGCAGTTTTGATTCATGTTCAGCACGACTAAATGTTTGCTGAACGGGCAAAGATCAGTAAATACCAAAACGTTTATGTTTTCGTTGGAATCTGCCAGTGAATGAAGTTATTGTGATGTCATTCAGAAGGTCCGTAGCTCCGGCTTACGCGACGCCTGCACCTCAGGTGAGTGGTAAAACCAGCCCTCCTCCAGTTTGGTACATTATTGTTTTCATGAGTTTAAAGAATTCTATCAGCTTAGTTCATGCATGAGCTAGGTTTGTTGTGAGTGCTAATATGAGCTGCCAGGCATTAATTTTCATGCATACTGCAAGTTAAATGTGTCCAACGTTTATTTTGCACAGCAGTTTGAGGTTGGGGGACTGATTTTAAAGGAGATATTTGCCACAGACGAGAGGAGTGAAATCAATTGGCTCACTCCATCCCCTGAAACCTTTTCCATCCTGATGAGCTCTTATTTTTCTTCATCTTTGTGCTGTGGTGTTTTCAGACTCAGACTTTGATTGATCCCTGCTCTTAGAATCAAAAACCCTCTCACATCTGTTTGGGATTTCACTGATTGAAAGCACCTCTCTCTAAACTCTCCATCAAATTGTTTTCTAATCTTGGGGGTTTCAGTCTTCATGGCAGTTTTTCCTTTTTATTTCCTTCTGAGAAAAAAGGAAGGCATCTAATTTAGATTTTCAGAATATGCGGTTGTTAAGTTTCCTTTTTTAATTTTAATTTGGCATCTTCAAGTGTGTGAAATAAAAAAAATGGCACAACTTTTCATTAGGGAAATGTTGATGTGTCAGAAAAGCAGTCATACATGCAGAAATGATCACCTTTATTACACCAAGAAAATTGAAAAGAAGCGTGTTCCACGTTCATTTGTTACCAGCTGCTTCTGCCTGAATACCAGAAAAACACAGACTGTCAGCGCGGTAAACATGGCTGCAAATATTTTTTCTGATAGCAAGTCATATAAAAATGAAATTAAAATAGCCTTCCAGTCACCAGGTGACACAGCACACAGACCCTGTTCAAGGCTCAGCTAATGATATGCTGTGGACACGATGTTCAGTTGCCAACTCTCTGATAGGAACCCCACATGAAATGGTCCCTTATTTAATCAAAATAAACGAGCAACATGCCTATATCAGCCTTTTGCACCTGTTGGGTACCTGATGACACGGACCATGCTGCACAAGGCTGCAGCTGTCCAACAGAGTCGTGTCAGACTCGTCCACTACAGCCACCGTTTGTAATATTTTTACTTTACTATCAAATGATGTGTTTCACGTTTACAATCTTGTCTGTTTTTCACCATATAAATACAAATATTCCTATGAGCCTGAAATGTAAAATGTTACAAAAACTGTGTTTTACAGCTCTTCTTCTCCTCCGGGTCAGGGACGAGGTCCTGCCTCGTCTTGTTCACGAGTGAGGGAAAGCTGGGGC